TTCCATCTGCATCATTTTTAATTACTGCACCGCTTGCATTTGCATCGGATTTAATTATTTCTCCCCATTTTTCTTTTCTCATTTGCACCAGGTTAAATCACTGCGGCGTCCCCATTTGCACCCAAACTGGATGATTTCTCCCCATTTCTGCATTTGCACCAGGTTAAATCATTGCACCATTTGCATTTGCACCCAGACTCATTTATTTCTCCTTCTTTTTTGGATTTGCGTCGGGTTAAATGATTGCACTGTTTGCATTTAGGCCCAGGCTGGATTATTCCTCCCCCTTTCGCATCCCCGCTCCGACTCATTGTATCACCCTCCCCCCCGCCTTTCCTTTTCCTCCACCTCCATCACCTCATCCAGATCCATTTCAAACAAACGGCACCAAAACCTGCCCAGATCCGGGTTCCTTTTGGGGGAAAAAGAAGGGGAAAAAAAAAAAAATTAAATAACAGAAGACTGCTTTTCGCAGGCGAGGCGACTGCCGGATTGCGAAAGGTCGGGAGGGGATTAACCCCTGGGGAAGCCTTTTGCTCCTCGCAAAGCTTTGCTTTTTGCAGAACAAGCAGTGGGATGCACGGGGAAAATCAACTCCTCGGTGTTTGCATGCTGCAGCCTTTCCCCCCCTCACCCGAAAATTGCATCCGCAAGCCGTGCACCGCCGGGATTTTTGCGAAACCTTGCAAAAAAAAAAACCAACCAAACCCCCAAGCCTTTGCATCGCTTTTCCTGCAGCATCCCGGCTCATTCTTGCTGGCAACCGTGGCCTGGCCAACGGAGGCAGCTCAGGTTGCAAAAGCAAGCGGGCATCCCGCCAGCTCCTCTCGGATTTCTGGGAAATTCGGGCCTCCTGCTGCCAAAGGCGGTTGCTCCCACCGCCCTCCCACGCCTTCGCTTCCTGCTTGCGCCTTTGTTTTATTTTGTTTTATATTTTTTTTTTTTTCTTTTGCAATGGGGACAGCTGAGACGTGGACACCCCGGGGGAGGAGACACCTGATATTTCTGCTCCCCCTGGAGGTAAATAAAAAGCAATTAGGGTTCCGCCGCCCCCGGGGGTCTTGCATAATCCGGGATGAAAGGGTTGGGAAGGTGGAACGCGGGGCGGCGTGACGGCCTCGGGCTTGCGATTTCAGCGCGCGTGGTTTTGGGTTGCAGGGTGAGCGGCTTTGGGTTGCGAGAGGCCTTGCTGGGGGTTTGCGGTGTGCATTGCTTTGGATTGCAATGCCCCTTGCTGCAGATTGCAGTGCCCCTCGCCGTCGATTGCAGCGCCCCTCGCCATGGATTGCAATGCCCCTCGCCGTGGTCTGCAATGCCCCTCGCTTTTGTTTGCAATGCCCCTCACTGTGGATTGCGATGCCCCTCGCCGTGGTTTGCAATGCCCCTCGCTTTTGTTTGCAATGCCCCTCACTGTGGATTGCGATGCCCCTCGCCGTGGTTTGCAATGCCCCTCGCTTTTGTTTGCAATGCCCCTCTCCGTGGTTTGCAATGCCCCTCGCCGTGGT